GTCATGTCATGCAGTCACGCCGACATGCGCACATGCAGACATGCAGACATGCAGTCATGCAAACAACGTTCTTGTGCCATTGCAAACTTGGCACACGACATGCCTCCTCGTTTTGTTCTGTGTTATCACATGTCATGCCATCTCGCCGCGTTTCCCCCGCGGTCCACCCACAGCCCTACCACGCCTCCCATCCCTATCTCCCCCGGTGCAGTCGGGAGCATGGTGCACGTCCCCCTGGGACTGTTACAACCGCAGCTCGTCGCTGTGGGGCAGCTCCAACCACTTCCCTGACGTGCTGCCCACACCCGGCATTCTCAGCGCCCAGAGCGACGTCAACCCAGGTAGGCTAGGCCGCAGCGAGCCCTTCTGATGCCGCTTGCTCTTGCCTCTGGGCTTCAAGGCACGCTCAGCTCCTTCCTGTGGGGCAACTCCACCGCCTTCCGAACGTGCTGCCTGTGCTGACAGCAAGCATGGTCAGTAGAAGATAGACATGCTTGCTGTGGCATGTCAGCCACTGCAGTTACCGCCGCCAAGGCTGGTGCAGGAGCAAGCCGTGTGTCGTGTCAACCACGCCCCATGCCATGGAACGTTTGTGCAGATATGCATGACTGGAACCTGGTCATCTTCCCATACTGCGATGGTGCGTCTTTCTCTGGCGACAGGCAGGACCCACTGGTCTTTGAGGTGAGGCGCACACTGATACTTGCTCTTTCAAAATAGGGAAGGGGCGATTCTGTGCCTTGAGTCTGACAGCCTGCCCTGCAGTGCATGACATTATTTTATAAGTTCATATTCATGCCATAACTTCATGCCGCAGGTTCTCATGGGCTCATCCGACAGGGTCAGGCCATGCATCCATGCACATCCTCTCCATTCCACCCTGCATCGTTCCATCCCTCACCCCCTCGAACACCCCTCTTCCTCCTCTCCCCCCTCCCCAGGGAGTGCCGCTCTACTCTCGCGGGCGGCGCATTCTCGACTTTCTCCTCGCGCACCTCACAATCAGATTCCACATGGGCACGGCACAGCGGGTGAGGTGTGAGCAGTGGGCATGGGAAAGTTTTGAGACATTTCAAAACGCGGCGCATCCTCGACTTCCTCTTCGCACACCTCACAACACGATTCCACATGGGCACGGCACAGCGGGTGAGGTGTGAGCAGCAGGTATGGGAGAGGTTTGAGACAATTCAAAACGCGGCGCATCCTCGAATTTCTTCTTACACACCTCACAACCAGATTCCACATGGGCACCGCACAGCGAGTGAGGGGTGAGCAGCAGGTGGGGCAGAGAGGTTGCGTATAGGGCAGTGCAGAGCGGGTGTGGGATGGCAGGAGAGTGCTGTGGAAGCCAAGGGCAGTGGGTGATGGCATCGCTGCAACAGGCCTCAGTCACTACCCACGCTGCCCCACACCACCACTTGCACTCCCTTGCTGCACCTCATGCTGCCCATGTACCATTCCCAACCAGCCATGTCCAACCTGTGCCTCCCGTCACTCCCAATCCCTGTCCCTCATTGGACTTTGAATTCCCGTGGCTGCACCACGTGCTTGTATCGGGGTGCTCAGCGGGCGCACTGGTGGTGTATCTGCACTGCGACTACATCCGCCACACACACATGCCTCTCTCCTCCCAACCCCTGTCCCTCATAAGCCTATTCACTTTCTATCCTCTTGGCCGTGCCAGGTGCTCATATCGGGGTGTTCAGCTGGCGCCCTGGTGGTGTATCTGCACTGTGACTACATCCGCCACGCACACATGCCCCCCTCCGCGTCCGTGCAGTGCCTTGCAGACTCGGGCCTCTTTCTTGACATGTGAGCCGCTTCCTCCCCACACTCACGCACCCACTCCCTCGCCCAGACCTCACTCCTGCTTAATGCGCCTTCACATCAGCAATCCCATACCGCTGGACCTCTGTTTGTTTGTACCATCCCATGCCATGGAACGCGGCATGCCTTTGTTCTCTCATCCCCACCCCTCTGCTGCTCCCGCCTGTGCCACAGTCCAGACATCAGTGGTGGCAGGGCGGCTCAGACGCTCTTCCGCTCCGTGCTCGCCATCCATGTGCGTGTGCTCGCCATCCATGTGCGTGTGCTCGCCATCCATGTGCGTGTGCTCGCCATCCATGTGCGTGTGCTCGCCATCCATGTGCGTGTGCTCGCCATCCATGTGCGTGTGGTCTTCTCCCCCTTCTGATTCCTTTGCATAGTGGACTCTTAGTCACATGTGCCACCACATCACATCACAATAAGTGTCATCATAGCCTCACCATGCCTCGCTGTGCTTCTGTGCTGTGCTGCACACGTGGCAGAATGTGACTGGCAGTCTTCCCGCCTCCTGCGTCTCCTCTCGTCCACCTGGAGACCACTATCAGGTAAGCTCTGCTCCTATCACCTCTGCTGCTATCACTTCTGCTGCTATCACCTCTGCTGCTAACACCTCTGCTGCTATCACCTCTGCTGCTATCACTTCTGCTGCTATCACCTCTGCTGCTATTATCACCTGTGCTGCTAACACCTGTGGTGCATACGAGTCTAAGTCTCTACCTGCTACCACACGCGCCATGCTATGTGAAACCATCATCCTAGCCGTATGCATACCCTACCCTGTGCTGTGTGCTGTGTGCTGTGCCACGTGACAGTGTTTCATGTCAGCGCAGCTACTACCTCTCCTTAGGACACCCACGTTCATCATCAACAGCAACTACGACCTCTGGTTGGTACGCCACCACCTCGTTTCTTTCAACTATGCCCTGGGCATCATCTCTCAGCGCGCTTTTGGAGTTGCTCATAGCCACGCCTGCATTGACCCCCCTTTGGATCATCGTTCTGCAACCACATCAGGCATCCTTGACGTGCGTTTAGCTCTGAACGGCTTAGATGGCCACTTCCCCCTCCCGCATCTCATGCATCCCCCCATTGGTATTGCCCCCTCCTTTCTTCCCAACCCTCTCCCCTCCTTTCTCCACTCTATCAGCCCTCCTCACTGTTCCTCTCACCCATTTCCTGCGCTATGAACCACATCCCCTCACTTCCCCCACCCTTGTGCTGCGCTCAGTTGCGGCACGCACTGGCCCCACCAGAGGCGGACCCGTCAGGCGAGCTCATCGCCAGCTGCTTGAGGAAGCTGCACACGTGCAACCAATCCCAGCTCGCCACCTTGCAAGGTGATGCTGCAGCCACCATTGCGTGTTACGCAGCCATCTGAAACTGCCGTGTTCCCTCTCTTTCTATTATTTGCCTTCCCGTTTCTTCTCCTCAACATATCCGTTTGTCATCCCAATCGTTTCACTCTACCATGTGCCATGCCCTCTCTCCCCTCACCCCTCTTCCTCACCCCATCTTCCCAGGAGTGCGGGACACAGTCACAGCCACTGTGGCACCGCTCCTGTCACCCACAGCAGGGGCAGAGGCAGAGGGAGGCGGGGGAGGGCAAGGGGATGTGCAGCGGGAGCAGCAGCAGCACGGGGTGTTTCTGTTCTCGTGCCTGACCCACTGCACAAGCCACTATGAGGACCACTGGCTGCGACTCACCGTGCTCAACCAGGTGAGGGAAGAGGAGCGGGAGCGGGGCAAAGGGGTGTGCAGCAGCGGCACGGGGTGTTTCTGTTCTCGTGCCTGACCCACTGCACAAGCCACTATGAGGACCACTGGCTGCGACTCACCGTGCTCAACCAGGTCCCACCCACCCATCCTCCCCCTTCTCCCCTTCCCACCCTAAACTCCCCGCCCTCTCCTGCCCCTCCCTCTCCGCTTCACCTTGTGGTTCCTCCTCGCTCACCACCACTCACCCGTCACACCCACCTGTCCACCTGCCCGTTTCCTCCTCTCACTTCTCGGCATGTGTTTCTGTTTCTTTGATGCCTGCTCACACCACTTGGGACTGCCATCTCGTTCCTCCTCTCCCAACTCGCATATCTGCTGTGGCCTTGCCTCACCGATTCTCATGCCCTGCCGATTCTCATGCCCTCACTCACTCACACTTCGGGAATGTCCCTCGCTGTCCTCCTTTCACCCACTCAAACGCCTGAACACTGTGCCTCTTTCCTCCTCTCTTCGCGCCCTCTCCGCTGTGCCACCCCATGCCTCCCCTGCAGACTCTGATGCACGCTGTGGGCCAATGGCTGCGAGCTGTGCACAATACCACAGGCGCACAAGGCAGTAGCAGCGGTGGCACGGGGGGGTTTGAGGCGGCGCTGGTAGACTGCCCGTACCCGTGCAACTCGTGCAACGTGCGGGCCCCGCCTCCCATAGCACCCTCAGCTCCAAAACAGGTGGAAGCGGGTCAAGGACACGAGGGGGCCAAGCAAGGGCAGGGGGCGGTAGCACAAAGGCAGGCAGGTCAAGGGCAGGCATCTCAAGCGCAGGTCAACACAGGTGCTGCGCAGGGGCAGGCCAAGACAGAGGCCCCACGAGCACAGGTGGGAGCACAGGCAGGGCAAGTGCAGGTGAAGGAAACAGAGGTGGTGCAGCGGGAGAGGGGTGTGCCAATACAGACAGAACAGGCTGGCCCGGTGGCACCAGACGCAGGTGGAGTTCAAACTACCGTTTGACATGCTTGGTGCTTGTTTCAATGTTAACAACACAGCAAAATTGGTGGCTGGTGCAGGCTGAAACAAACATTCCTTGCCTCCTGTAACTTCTGCCGCAGCTGCCAGTCAAGCCGCCTACCACAACCTTATAAATACAAGGCCTACACTTATGGAGAGTATGGTATGGAGAGAGTGCTAAACCTGCCATTCACAGATGGCATACACATGGGTTCCATTTTCCCAAGATGCTCAACGCACAGCCCTCCATCCTTCATGCAGAAACTAGTTACGGTACCTCTACCGCTTCGCCACTCTCCCCCCCTCCTGCCCAATCCCCCCAACCCCTCCCCCTACAGCCCCCCCCCTCTTCTCTGCATCACTCCTCCCCACCCTGCTCCACCACTCTATGGTACATCGTGCCGTTGATGTTCACCTCACTGAGCTGTGTCTGGTCTAAACTCAGAACCTGCATCACTCCTCCCCACCCTGCTCCACCACTCTGTGATATGTCGTACCGTTGATGTTCACCTCACTGCCACCTGACCCCGGGTACTCAAAGAAGAAAGCATCCTCCACTCGCCCCCCTTCATACCTCAACTCTATGCCATTCCCCCTTATCTCATACTCCCCCCTCCCCTCCCTTTCTTCATCATCCACCTCCCCATCCCTCCCCTCTAACCCTCCCACTCTCCCCACCCCCATCCCTGCGCCCTCCCCCACGCCCATCCCCCCTGCCTTACACGGCAATATCCCTGTCGCGCCCTGCACACTGAACGTCCCATCTCCCCGGAAAGTCACGGTCGTCCCACCATGCACGCCTGAAGCCTCTGCTGCATCGACAAAGTCTCGAGCCGCCGCGTGAACAAACCTCCCCTCCAACCTACACCCCTCCTCCGCCTCGCACGGCTGTACCCTCTTAAACACCACGTCGCCGCCGCCCACCCGCACCTCCTGCTGACCTGGCGCCAGCGCCACCTGGCACCCGCCATACTCAAACTCGTGCGCCGGGCCGTGGGCGTGCGAGAGCGGTACGAAGCGGTGCGGGTTGGTGCGGCGGTCGTGGTGGAAGTCGAAGTGGCGCGGGTCCCCGTGGGGCAGGCCGAGGTAGAGCTCGCCTGTGGAGAGCAGCGCCCAGTACTCCGTCCATTCCTTGAATGAATAGCTGAAGGGAGGGCAGTGACGGAGGGGAACAGCGCAGTTGCAAGGTTATGCGCTGCCACAAATGGCAGGCCAAGTTGAAGCTCGCCTGTGGAGAGCAGCGCCCAGTACTCCGTCCATTCCTTGAATGAATAGCTAGTGGGGGGAAAAGGGGGGGTATTGAGGGCCAAGTGGGAGCAAGTGGAGGCTTTGAGTCCAAGAACGAGGCCCCCTGTTGAGAGCAGCGGCCAGTAAGTACTGCATCCACTGCTTGAACGAGTAGCTGGTGGGGGGATAGAGGGGGAGGGGGGACAGCGCAGTGGCAAGGTTATGCGCTGTCACAAATGGCAGGCCAAGTTGAAGCTCGCCTGTGGACACCAGTACTCCGTCCACTGCTTGAATAAATACCTGCAACGGGCAGTGGGGGGTCAGTCAATAAGGGGGAGGGGGGAAGAATTAAGGTGGCGGGCAGTGTGTGGGGGGGGGCAGTGGAACGCTTTGAAGCGTTTCAAAACAGGCAAGGGTAAAGCTCTCGTATGGAAAGCAGCGCCCAGTATTCCGCCCAGCGCTTGAAGGAGTAGCTGGTGGGGGGAATATTGGGCGGCATTGGGGCAATGGGGGACACTGGGGTCCAGTGGTGTGGGAGAAAGAGGGGGGCAGTGGGGGTGATGGTGTGGGAGAGGAGGGAAGAGTCTGGGTCAGTGGTTGGGTAGACTGGGAGGAAGGGAGAGTGGGAGCACTGAGGGGGCGCACTGTCCATTGGGGATGCAGAATGGGGTCACTGGGGGAGCAGAATGGGAACCTTAGGGGGGCAAAAAGGCGGCATTGGGGGTGCATTGGGTGCATTGGGTGTGTAGTGTCTGCTGCGCACGACTTGTGAGAACATGGGAGGGGGTATGGGGCGAGACATACCCGAAGGTGAGGACGTTGGGTGTGTAGTGTCTGCTGCGCGCCACATACAGCTCCTCCACCGCCACTTCCCGCGGCCCCTCCCCTTCCCCTTCCCCCTCCGCCTCCGCCTCCCTCCGCCTCCCCTCCTCCGCCGCGCGCATCATCATCAGCTCCCGCTCGCGGCGCCACCGCTCCATGCGCTGCTTCACCGTCTCGCGCCCCCACTTCCGCCCGCTCGGCCCCCCCGCCTTGCTGCTCCGCACTTGCCCCGCCTGCGCGACTGCGCCAGTAGGCGCACCCACGTTGTTTCTCCACGTTTCCGCGCCGTCCTCGTCCCCCCGCGAGTCGTTTCCCTCCGCTCCTCCCCCTTGCGCTCCGCCTGAACGCGCGCCCCCCGTCGCGCGCACCCCCACATCCTTGAGTCCCGGCGGGCGCTCCGCGCCATTCGCGGAAGCCGGGTCCCCGCGCTCTTGGCGCGCAACGATCGGCAGCGGAAATTGCGGGAGGCGGCGCTGAAGGCCGTCCACGTGGCGCGAAAGATTCTCCCGCCACTGGCGCGCCACATTGCCGCTCTCCCACTCCGCCCGCACGCCTCTAACGAACGAGACTATATCGAAATCCGAGCCGGACCGAACGGTTCCTTCCATCGCTAGGCAGCGTCGTATGGCAATGCTCTGGTGGCAGAATGCCTGCGGCGGAGCGGACTAGTAGTAACCTTTCTGCACTCGTATGCAGCCAAGTCTTGAAGCTAGAATGCAGTAGCTCAAGTTCCGTCCATTGTGTTAGGTGTTGGCTGTAGAACGGTGCTGCTCCCCTCCCCCGCTCTGGGGGATTTGCTGCTGACGCGCGGACCATCGTGAGCTGACGTGGAGTGGGGCATGTGATGACGAAAGATGGAGTGTATGCTGACGTGCTACTCAGGACGCGTTGAAAGTGCAAATATCGCAGGATCGTCTGCATATATGGATCCCCACAATCGAGTGGGCAGATCGTTTGGCGAATCGTGGCGACCGCGACGTTGTAACGATCGCGGCTGAAAATTGACAGATTTCCCGCGAACAGTGATCAGTCGCATTCTCACACTGTACAGAAATTTTGGCCAGAAAGCGTACTGTAGCATGGTTACAACAAAGTTAATAGGGTAACCGATCCGCACATCGATCGCTACTGACGATCGATCGTCTACTTTCACCGCGTCTTCAGTCTACAAGTGAGAGTGATGAGAGTGGTACTGACCTTCTCACCTACCATTCACACAGCTCCCCATACGCGATTTTGCACATGGTTGATCGGGATCAACCTTTTTAGTTCGCTGCAAATCAAGACAACTCCATCTCTCAATAGAAAGCAAATGTTGTATTTTCTCCCAAAACCAAATACACATTTAGCTATCGTTGCAGACGATCAGCATCGCTCAATAGCGAATCATCCATTCAGCATCTCCCCTCCATCGCCTCCTCTTTCGCGCACACGGAGATTCTTGCGCCTCCTCCCCAGGCCCACCCAAGCGCGTCCCGCCAACAGCGCCCATAGTGCTGCGCGAGCATGCATGGGGGGAGATTCTTGCGCCTCCTCCCCAGGCTGCCCCATGCGGAATTCCCAAGAATGCTGCCGCGGGAGGGGGGAGGCCCCGCCGCTGATGCGCGCATGGGGCGCGATTTTCCGCCGCTCTTTCGCCTTCTCACTCGGAAGGAGGGCGTCTCGGCGGAGGCGCTTGGCAGGTGTTGGCGGAGCGGAAACTTGGGGGCTTGGGGCGCGGAAACAACGCATCCGCTTAGGGAGCCGCGGGGGGTGATCGTCGGGGGAGGGGGGCCGGCGTGCCGGGAGAGGGGAACGGTGAGCGGGGAGGGGGGGAATGCGGGTGTGGGGAGGCGCGGATTGCAGATAGCGCGGTGGTTGGGGTGGGGCGAGCGGGGGAAGGAGGGAGGCGCGCGCAGCGGTGGTGCGCCCGAGGCGAGGAGGGAGAAGGCGACGATGGAGCTGCACGGGGAGAGCTGGGTCGATTGGTACAGGTGCGGGGCGCTTCGCATTGGGTGCTTTTCTTGAAAGATTTCAGAAACGCGGCCATGAAGCACTGCACTCAACTTCCCCCATGCCACCCCATGCCCCCCATGGGCACCCCTCGTTCCCCCATGCCCCCCACGGGCCCCCCATGCATCAGTTGGATGCACGATGTGGCCTCCCCCCGCATTCGCCGCCACCTGCAGCACGAGCGCGCCTACCTGCGCGCCCTCATGCGCACCCGAGCCGGTGGGGGGCGGACGATGGGGGAGTGGCAGCGCGAGGTGGTGGGGGAGATGGAGGAGAGCATGCCGCCGCCCTCGCATGGGCCTCCTGAACCCTGTGGCCCCTGGTAGGTGCATGTGAGGGATGGTGGATACATGGGTGGGTGAGTGGGTGGGACACTTGTTGCTTGTTCCCTAGTCTAATTCCCCTGCCGCACCCGTGCCCATCATCCGAACCCTTTTTCACTCCATACAACTCCTGTGCCCCCCTCCCCACCACCACATTGCACAGGTCCTTGCTTCTCCTCTATCCCCACTCCCCCCCCCCTCCCCCACCCACCAGGCTGTACGGAGCACGGGTGCCAGACGGGCAGGAGCTGCCGGTGCTCTTCCGCTGGCCCGCTGCCATGCACACGGGGGAGGGGGCGCACACAGCAGAGAGTGATGGGGGAGGGTGGCAGGGAGGGAGGGGTGAGGGAAGGGCGGATCGAATGGGGGAGCAGATGGGGCAGCAAGGGGTGGCGGGGGAGCAAAGGGCGGAGGAGGGAGGGGTGGAGGAGCGAGGGGAGCAGGTGTTGGCGGATCTGAACGAGCTGGCAGACTATTATGGTGATGCCTCTCGCCCTGCACTGCACCCCCTGCTGCCTCTGCACACCCTGCTACTGCCTGCCTGCTTATGTTTCACCCACCCTTGCTTGTCTGGCCCCATTCCCACACTCCCCTGGCTCCAATCGCTTCAGCCTTCACATGCTTCCCCCACCTCCCTGCCTCACTCAGTGTGACACCCTCGTTACTCAGGTCCTCCTATTCACTCCACTCCTCCCCACCGCACCACACCCCATCCTACCCCACCGCTTTGCACCAGGGTACGTGAGGCTAGTGGAGTGCAAGGTCAGTCGCTGCCACGCCCTCCTCGCACTGCTCCTCGACCTCTCGCCCTCCGAGTCCCCCACGCTCTTCCTCCTCCACCTCCCCTCCTCTCCACCATCCCTCCACTCCCGACCCCTCTCCTCACACGTGCGCCCTTCCAAGCCCCTCATCCACTCTCCGCCCTTCGCCGCGCGCCTATTGTGCACGCCCATCCCAGCGGTGGCGACGGTGGATTGGGCGGCAGACTCGCAGCACGTGCTCTATACCAAGCTGGATGCCAACCTGCGGTCGCACCGGTGAGTGAGGGTGGTGAGAAGAGAGAGGGGAGCTGTTTCGAGGAAGCGTATATTGTTCTGCTTTGGAACGTTGCGTGTATGGACATTTGACACCATTCAATATGGTGCCATGGCATGTGCAACAGGGTGATGAGGCGACGCATACACATTCCACAGGAAGGAGAGGGAGAGATATTGGAGGAGGGTGAGGAGGGCGAGGAGGACGAGGAGGGAGAGGAGGAGGAGGAGGTGTTGCGGAGCGAGGAGGAGGGGGTGGTGGTGGCTGTGTCTCGCACCAAGGACTGGCGTTACCTCACTCTCAACCTCAACACTCGCAGCTCCTCCGAGGTGCGCACTTGGATTCCATGCACATGCATACGTGCACACGCACATGCACGTGAACATGCCGTCCTGCCGTCCATGCGCCCACTACAGGACCATGAGGGGTGGCGCTATACTCTCACCGCGTGTGCCTCTCCACTGCTCCAACCATCCAACCCTCTCCCCCCTCCCTCCACTCCAGGTGCATCTGCTGGACGCGCAGCACCCCACAGCACCCCCTCGGCTGCTGCAGCGGCGGCGGGAGGGCGAGCAGTGGTTCGTGGAGCACCATGGGGGGTGGCTCTATGCTGTCTCCAACCGCTGCATGCATGAGGAGGGGGAGAGGGAGGTGGAGGGGGAGGGAGAGGGGAAGGGGGAGGGTGGAGGGAGGGATCAGCAGGGGGAGATGGGGGTAGACAGTGGCGAGGGAGGTGGAGGGGAGGAGAGGAGGGTGGGGGAGTATCGTATTGTGAGAGCTCCAGTTCGTTCTGCCCACCGCGCTGATAGCTGGCAGGTGAGGAGCGAGTTACTTTTGAGTCGACTCAAAAGTCAACCTGGCAGGTGAGGAGTGAGTGTATGGGTGGCAGCGCATGGGAGTGGCAGTGCGCGTGGGTGGCAGTGCCTGTCTCTGCCCCATTCTGGCTGCCTTACTTTTCCCTTTTATGACACATTGCTCTCAGCTTTCCACCTTAGATTTCCTTCCTCTCTCCCTCACGCTCACAAGCACTCCTTTCCCCCCACTGCCTGCCTGTGCTCTGCTACCCTCCTCTGCTCACATAACCCGCCACAGCGTGGCGATCAGAGTGAGGGAATGAGACGTGCAGCCATCAGACATATTGATATCGGACATAGAGGTGTTGCGATGCTGCAACCCTCATTCGCTCATCCACCCATCCCACCAGAGCCTGGCGATCAGAGTCAAGGGATGGGACATTCGGCCATCAGACATTGCCATATCAGACATCGAGGTGTTCCGACACTGCCTCGCTGTGCACAGCTACACTCATTCGCTCATCCCCTCAACCCACCAGAGCCTGGCGATCAGAGCCAAGGGGTGGGACATCTGGGCATCCGACATTATATCGGACATAACGGTGTTGTAGCGCTGCTACACTCATTTGCTCATCCCCTCAACCCACCAGAGCCTGGAGATCAGAGTGAGAGGTTTGGATATCCAGGCATCAGACATTGTTATATCAGACATTGTCATCTCAGACATTGAGGTGTTCCGACGCGGCCTCCCTCATCTGCTCATCCACCCAACCCATCCCATCAGAGCCTGGCGATCAGAGTGAATGGGTGGGACATCCAGCCATCAGACATTGTCATATCAGACATCGAGGTGTTCCAACGCTGCCTCGCCGTGCACTGCCTCGTGCACTCCCTGCCGCACCTGCTGCTGCTGCCCCTGCCCCTCTCACCAGAGGGCGGAGTGGGAAGAGAGGAGGGTGGTGTGGGAGGGAAGGGGCGGAGAGGAGAGGAGAAGGGGAGGAGGGAAGTGGAGGTGTGGGCGAGGGCAGTGCAGCTGCCGGAGAGGGTGTGCCATGTGGTGGCGGGGGGCAACCAGGACTTCCATGCGTCCTCTCTCCGCATCATGGTGTCGTCCCCTGTTGTGCGTGCTCACTGTTGCCATGCTTTGAGTCGACTCAAAAGCAGTGCAGCTGCCGGAGAGGGTGTGCCATGTGGTGGTAGGGGGCAACCAGGACTTCAATGTGTCCTCTCTCCGCATCATGGTGTCATCCCCTGTTGTGCGTGCTCACGACTAGCACGCCATCATGCCATCGTGTTGTCGTGCCATCATGCCATCGTGTTGTCGTGCCATCATGCCATTCTGCAATCAGGACTTGATGCCAGCACTTGGCGCATCATGGTGTCATCCCCTGTTGTGACTGCACTCTGCTATCATGCCATCATGCCATCATGCCATCATGCCATCGTGCCATCATTGCTGTAACCACAACCGCTCTCCTCTCCCTCGTCGCCTCCCCCGCCCCTATTCTCTTTTCCTCTCCCCCTGCTCCTCTCTATCCTGTGCTCTCGTCCTCTTCCAGCCATAACCACCACCAGTCCAACATCTTCTCAATGCCCTCTATCTCCTTCCTCTCCTTCCCTGCCTCGCCTGTTCCATGCCCCACCAGATGCCTGAGGCCGTGTGCGAGGTGCACATGCCCTCTGGGACCCTCTCAGTGCTGCACCAGGAGCCGTACTGCCGCCACCAACCCCACCAACAGCAGCACCAGGAGCAGCCTGCTAACCAGAAGCATGAGAGAGTTGAGAAGCAGCAGAAGCAGCAGCAGCCACAGCAGGAGCACTCCCCACCGACCCCACGTCTTCATCCCCCCAGCCCTCCCCTACCTCTGCCCCTCTTCTGCGTGCCTGGGCTCATCTGCCAACGCCTCTGGGTACCATCCCCGGACGGCCCACCCATACCGCTCACCCTCATCCACCATGCCAGCAGGCAGCGCGACAGCGAGGGCGCGGCGCTACTAGAGGGGTACGGCGCGTATGGGGAGGTGATGGCAGCGGAGTGGGTGCCCCACCGCCTGCCTCTGCTGCACCGCGGGTGGGTTATTGCCCTCGCGCACACCAGAGGAGGGGGGGAGCTGGGCCGAGCATGGCACGAGGCGGGGCGTGGGGAGAGGAAGGGGCGGGCGGTGGGGGATTTGAGGGCGTGTGGGGAGTATTTGGTGGGGGAGGGGTGGGCGGGGAGGGGGCGGGTGGCAGCGAGGGGGAGCAGTGCGGGGGGGTTTCTGGTTGCTGCTGCTGTCAACGCTGATCCCGGTCTCTTCCGAGCGATTGTGCTGGATGTGAGTGTGACTGCAGTGAAAGCATGTCGCCATGAGCCCAGATGTGCCTTGGAAACAACATGTACTCATGTGAACTATTCGATTAAATCTTCCCGAATACCTCGCACCACCATACACTACCTACCTCCTGCCCTAAGCTGTGACCCCCCTGCCATTCATCTATGTGCTGCCTCGCACTCACTCTCCCCACCTCTCACTTTGCTCTCGCTCATCCACCCGCACCTCCTCCCACACCCCCTCCCGCCCCCAGGTGCCATTCCTGGACGCCCTCACCTCAATGAGCAACCCCGCCCTGCCACTCACAGCGCTGGACCGCCACGAGTGGGGCGACCCCCTCGCCTGCCCCTCCGCCTTCCGTGCCCTCAGAGCCCTCTGCCCCGTGCTGAACGTGCAACAAGGGGTCAAGTACCCCGCTGCCCTGCTCTCCGCTGCTCTCCACGACTCAAGGTGATTGCCTGTCTGGCCTCCGCCGTCCATGCCCTGAGAGCTCTCTTCGGCCGTGCTCTGCTCTTCTCTCTGCTGCTCTTGTTGACTGCAGGTTAATCGTCTGAGTCGTATCAGGCTTGTATTCAATGCACTGCGAGGCTGTGCCCTGCGCTCAATGTGCAACAAAGGGTGAAGTACCCTGCTGCGCTGCTGGTTTCACATGCACTATGCTTCTCCATCCCTGCCCACTCCCCTGTCCCTCCTCTGCCCCTGCCGTTTCCCTCAGAGTGGGCCCGTGGGAGGCTTTGAAATGGGCAGCCAAGGTGAGAGCAGAGAGCGATTACAGTGAGAGGGAGCGGCCGGTGGTGGTGCGAGTGTGGGGCGACAGAGGGCACGTTGCACCGTGTAGCGGCAGGGAGCAACTGGAGGACGTGGCTTTGGAGCATGCCTTCCTGCTGCACCACGTTGGGGGGGGGGAGCAATCATTGTGAGGAGAAGCGGCCGGTGGTGGTGTGTGTTGGTTGAGTGGGGGCACCGTGCAGCGGCAGGGAGCAACTGGAGGACGTGGCTTTGGAGCATGCCTTCTTGCTGCACCACGTTGGGGGGGGGAGAGCAATCATTGTGAGGAGAAGCGGCCGGTGGTGGTGTGTGCTGGTTGAGTGGGGGCACCGTGCAGCGGCAGGGAGCAACTGGAAGACGTGGCTTTGGAGCATGCCTTCCTGCTGCACTATGTTGGTGCGGACTGCTGATGGAGGTTTGCAGAAACGCTTGGATGGAAGCAGATGGAGGATGTGGCTCTATACCCTGCAGCACGCATTCCTGGTGCAGAATGGGGAGGACTGCTACAGTTATGAAGAAGACGCTTACGAGCAGATGAGGGACGTGATTTGGGCTTGCCTCATAAATGGGTTGCTGTCACTCCACATTTTCATTAGCTACATACTTTGAGATCGTGCAGAGCAGTGGAGCCATCTTGAGCTGCCTGCCCGATTTCTACAAAATAGCCGATCCATGAGAGGATAAGCTTTGCAATTCATATATGTTAATCCATGTACTGTATGATCGCTGCCTGGGCCGACATATGGGGCGATCACGGAGGTGTCAGACCGTGCAGTGCAGGAGGCACAGTCAAAGGTGCGCGAATCTTCTAGTTCTGCTCACAGAAAGCAGAAAGACAAAACAAGAGTGGAATGCACAGGAGCACAGCACAGGCAGGGCAGAATGAGCGACTACTCAGTGTGTGGCGCAGGGGAGAGAGATAACTGCGGATACAAGGATAGAGAGGGTGAACTGCAGTTAAGGCAGAGCGTGTGGAAATTTGTAGAGCAGGCAGAGGGAGTAATAAAACATACCTGCTGTGAGGGGTCATAGCCCTGACCCCCTCCTCCCCCTCCCTGGCGCCCATAGAAGTCTCCGCCCCCCCCTCCCATGCCCATGCCGCCCCCCCATCCCCCCATGCCAAACGACCCTGCTGCTGCTGCTGCCTGCAATTGCTGTGAAAGGCAGGTGGGTTGTAGTGGGGCAATGGAGGGTTGGTGTGGGCATCAGAATAAATGGAGGTGGCATGATAGAGGTGCTGGTGCCATGGCTTGAGTTAAACACAAGGAGCGTTGCCATGGAGCACTCAAATATGGAAGCGGAGGGCATGGGTGACAGACCTGTTGTTGCAGCAGCAGCAGCTGCATGTTGGGATCCAACGCCCCCGCCATGTTGAACCCTGCCAACGACCCCCCTTGCACCGCCACCAGCGCCTCACTGCTCCCCGCCCCACACACACCAGGCAGAACAAGGAACACACAAGACAGATGAGGCACAAACATGGCTTTAAGGGGAGATGCCAGCCAGCAGACCCACCAGGTGCCACACAGCAGCAACAAGAGACCCGCACTGCACGCATGACACCCATAGCGCAATGCTCATCCAGCAACACACAGCCACACAAGGCATTGCCATGAGCCCTGCAAACACCCTTCCCAGTCCAATCTTCTGGAGACGCACAAGAGCTCGATATAACAGTTGCCCATGAGCTGCTTGTGCTTTTTTACATGCCTCACACCCCAACCCCTCCCCAACTCAACCTCTTTCCCTCCAACCTCCCCCCCCCCCCCCCCCCTCGCCTTTTAGAGACACGGAAGAGCTTGATGTATCAACTTCTCATGTGCTGCCGGTGGCGCTCCATGGCCCTTCCAGCCTTCTTCACCAACGCAGCCATTTGAGGCTCTTCCCAACCTCTCCCCAACCAACCCAACCTCTTCACCCCTCAACCCACCTCTTGGAGACACGGAAGAGCTCAATATAACGATTCCCCATGTGCTGCCGGTGGCGCTCCATGGCCCGCCCTGCCTCCTCCGACGATGCAAACTCCACAAACGCCTCTCCTGTAGGCCGGTCGTTGTGCCCCGTCATAATGTGCACACCGTTCCCCACCACTTCATACCCCTCGAAAAACGCCAGAATGTCCTCCTGGCCTGCACTGAAGGGCAGCCCGCGCATCTTTATGCATACGTTCTCTGACGCCGCTGCTGCTGCCTGCGCTGCGCCCATTCCGCCCCCGGGACCTCCTGGTCCCCCCATGCCTCCGCCCCCCATCCCCCCTGCGCCCATTCCACCTGCGCCCCCCATTCCGCCCGCGCCCATGTGCATGGCGGCGAGGTTGGCGGCGCCCAGGCTGGGCATTCCGAAGCCCATCATTCCCGGTACCTGTAAGCCGCCCCGCCAGCAGGGAGGAAAAGGGAATTGGCAGATGGGTGTGTGAGCGGAAATAACAGGTGCGGTAATGGGGATGGGCAGGGAGTGGCGTGTGGCAAGCAATGAGGGCGCGAGAGTGCGGAACTAGTGCCTGAGGGTAGATGTGGAGCGAGTGAAGCAGCAAGGGGGCATGTGCGCAAGGGGCAAGGGGGCAAGGGACAAGGGGACGCACGGGGCCCATGAAGGTGGGGACGGGCGGGAACATGGAGTACATGCGCTGCTGCACCGCCGCCATCATCTCCCCCTTGGTGCTCCGAAACAGCTCCACGTACCGCTGGCGCGCGCAGAGGCAGGGGGAAGAGGGGTGGGGCGATGGGGAAAGAGGTGAGGGGTGAGCAGGAGAGGCGGAGGGGCAAAAGCAGGCGAGCAGATGAGAAAAGACAAAGGGCGAGGATTGGGCGTGGGGGAGAGGTACGAGGGAGGGATCAATACGACGCATGGCATGCGGGGAGCGCGAAGCACGACCGGAAAAGAGGCGCGAACGAGGGAGGAAGCACATGAGGGAAAAAGGAAGAAACTGAGCAGAAGGGGAGCGAGCGGGGAGGAGAGGGGGATGTGAGCGCACGTGGCCCATGGGTTCTCGGTGCAGCTGCAGCGCCCTCGCTGCCGTCTCCTCATTCGCAAACTCCACAAACGCCTGCCGCTCCGCCCACATATGACGCCCACGCACGGCAAGCATGCACGCCCAGCAGACGCGCACGCACGTGCACAACACGCAGGGCAGGCAAGCAAGAAAGGAGAGTGTGAGAGAAGCACAGACAGACGCGCTGCTACAACAGCTTAGCTGGCCGGATACGAACCGAAATGAACCGACACGAGTTTATATCAACTAAGATAAACCGACATGAACCGTTATAAACCCATGTGAGTGTAGATGCGAGAAAGGCGCTGGGAGTGTAGATGTGTGCAGGGCGCACCTCGCCGGTGGCGCGGCCGTCGGGGTGCGAGCAGAGGAAGATGCCGTCGTGCGCTATCTGCATGCCCTTGAAGAACGCCGCTATGTCCGCCGACGTCGCACTGCGCGCACGCACACACCGCGCACGCCGGGGCGAGCCCAGGGAGAGCGGGGAGCGCGGGGAGGGCGGGGAGCGCGGGGAGGGCGGGGAGGGAGGGGCGAGGAGATGGCGGAAAAGAGACTGAGGTGGCAGGAAGCTGCGAGTATTCGCGGGACACGAGGAGGAGAGAAAATGCAGCAGGGAGACGTGGGACACAGCTCGATGCGACGCACGTACGGCAAGGGGAAGGCAGAGCGCGCACCTATAGGGCATGCCGCGCATGCGGATGACGCCGCTGTAGCGCATGTCCGTGTTGCCCGCCATTCCTGGCACCCCAGCCCCCGCAGCACCACCCGCAAGCAGCCCAGATGTTGCCGCCGCCATATTGCCCGCCATGCCCGCCATGCCCATATTAGGCGCCCCCGCCCCCGGACCAGCAGCAGCAGCACCGCCCCTGCCCGCCATCCGCAAGGCCCCCTGCATTCCACGGCGCATGCATGCAACGCAATCCACACGAGGCCATGCCACCACGCCACCACTCCATTCCATTGCGCCATCCCGGCTAACCGCACAGCACCGCACTATCCGCTCGCGGGGACCGTGGAAATGATATGGTATAGGAGAGCAGCTAGTCTACACATGCACGCGCGCACGACGGAAAGCAGACATGAGAGATGGAAAACCGCGAGCACGCACCTCCATGTCTGCTGAGTGCCCCTTGAAAACCTCGATATAACGCGACCCGATGTGCTGCCTGGAAGCAACACGAATATAGGTGTGAGTCAGGGGCAGCAACACTCTGTGCAGATCTCAACGCGCAAAGCGCAAAGCGCGCCAATGGCATACGGGGGGGGGATGCTCCCACCTGTTACGCTCGAGGGCCTTGGTCGCATTCTCGGCGTCCGCGAAGCGAACGAAGGCCTGGCCAGTCGCTCGACCTGCCGTCCCATGGCAGAAGCGCATAGATGGGTGAATGCGAGAGGACGAGAGGAGGCGACGTGAGAGGCAAGCGATACTCGGTTGCACGGCACGGAGCAGCTCAAGGCAAACGAATATGACGAGTGAGGATAGGCGTACGCCACGCGGAGGGATGCGCAACGAGCGATGCCGTCACCCTAGGACTGAAGATGACGTCACCTTGGTAGTTGAGCTGCAGGACAATGCCGTCAGGCGCGATGTCGAGCCCGTCGAAGAAGGACTTAATGTCCGACTCCGTCGCGCTGAACGGCAGCCCGCGCAGCCTCACCACGTGGCTCCTCGCTCTGCCATTCAATAACGCCCGGGAGAGCGAGTGCGGAATGAGACGCAGGGGGGAGACGGCGAATGAGGCAGCAGCGAAGCAAGCAGTGATTCCATCAGACAGCGAATCACTGCGATTCGTGCTAAGCAGGTGAGCGAGGATAAGGAGCGAAACTCCGTGTACTCACAGCTCATCGTCGAGAGAACCGTTTCCGGCGAGACCACCGCCTGACATGCTGGCTGAGCAAGACGGTATCTACGGACAGAGGAGATTAGCGCCGGATTTTACGGAATGATGAAATCTTAGATTCAAAGCGACAAAACAAAACCCTATTTTTGAAGAAGTGCAGATATTTTCACAAAGAACCAGAGCGTGGATCATGATGCACCACTGTGTTATTCGTTATAGACATGTCGTGCTGTACTGCCTTGAGTTTTGCAATCGATAATGATCATGATGCAGAAGAATTCCTTCAATCAAAACGTCTGACGCGGCGAGATCTCTCGTGTATCAGGTGGGCGGGATGCACCAGCGTGGCACCAATCACAACAATCGCGTAATCCACGGCACTGCCCGCATTCACCTTCCCGCCAATTCCTTCATTCCGCACTTCCCTGCAGCACCGTCCGCCACTTACAGCGAATCCGCTTCTCGCCTCCTCACCACTATCCACTCACCTCTCGCCACGCATCCCTGCACAGTCAGCACCTCCATTCCCTTTCAATACCCAGCTGGACCCTGCCAATTCCCAAGGCAGCTCCAGCAGTCTGAATCTGAAGGCCCTGGAAGCCAAGGCAATCCCGAGGCTGTGCTGCTTGCTGGTGCTGCTCATCCGTGATCCCTCTGGTGCTTCCACCAAAACATATTATTTGCTGGTCTGCAGAAATCGACCAGTCATTGTCATTTCTTTTTTTTCGTCACCGACGGATCTTAGGTTGCCTTACTCCACTCACTCGCGCATACTCGTTGTCATGGCGTCCATTGCCACGTCAGCAGAGCGAGCTGTAGTTCTCCAGTCGCATCGCCTTCGATCCGCGGTTGCTGCTGAGTCCCTTGCCAGCAGCTCCTCGCATGCATTTTCCCCGCTAAAAGTAACCCCTCTGCGGTAAGTCCGGCCACCCAATAACCACCGTCGAAAGTAGTTGATCGCCTATAAATGCCATGATCACAACGCATTCCTCCCCCTCCCACGCATCCCTGTCGTGCTTGCCGTGCATGTCGTGAGTGCAGCGCTGCTCGCACCGGATCGTCGTTTACGAGGTCCAATGTCGCCACCGTGCGCGCCTCCTCCGACTCAGGCACGTGACATGCTACCCCATGCAGCACCATTCAGCACCATTCAGCACCATTCAACACTATTCAACACTATTGAACACCATGCAACACACCACACATGGTGATACCTCTAGACTCTGGCAGTCCATGCCACATCACTCAGGCTGTCACCCATTCGTCGATTGCAGACGACGAACAACCTCATAGTTATATTATCGTGACGCTCGTTGACTTCCTACAAGAATGCCGCTCGTCCTTATCCTTATGACCCGCTTACCCGACTGTTAAACCTTCATGAAAAATCGTCAATATTTCTCGCCGTTCACCCCTACCTGTGTGCGACGTCGCAGAGTATCGCACGGGCGTGAAGCGCAACCACAACATCGGCAAGCTACAGGCCGGCTACCTCTTCCCCGAGGTACACTTCTCGCCCCCCCCACCGCTCACCTCACTCCGCAACCACCAAGCTATTCCTTTTACCCAACGCTCGACACCGATCCCCCGCACTAGCCAGCTGACTCACAACCGCATTCCTCTTAAGTTCCTCCTCCCCACACCCGCGACGTCCCCCACCCGCGACGCCCCCCACCCGCCTGCTTTCCCCCCCCAGATCGCGCGGCGGCGGCGCGCGCACCTGGAGAAGCACCCCGACGCGAAGATCATCAGCCTGGGCATCGGCGACACCACGGAGCCCATCCCTGACGTCATCACCGCCGCCATGGCCAAGGTGAGTCCGTTGGATGGGTGGGGGCAGGGGGGGGATAGAGGGTGGTGGGTGGTTGATGGGAGTCAATGTGAATGGTGATGACGGATATCCATCCACAGTGGTGGAAAATACGCCGGCAACGCACGATGTATGCTGGAAAATTTCGTAACATGAAGTGCTTGGGTACGAGTACGTAAGTGAAGCACAGTCAGTTGGCGACAAGAACGAACTTAACAGCAAAGGTGAACAGGCAGAATGTTCTCAACCCCTCGCCGCTCGTCCACGCTGACGCTCTTCCCCTCGCCGTCCCCTTCTCTCTTTCCCTCTCCCTCTCCCCCTCCCTCTTCCTCTCCCGCTGTCCCGCGCAGAGGGCGCAAGGGCTGTCAACGCCAGCGGGTTACTCCGGCTATGGCGCCGAGCAGGGCGAGCAGGTGCGCTGACAGAGGGGATTGGGGGACCAGAAATGGGGAGAGAGGGGGATGGGTGGAGAAGGGCGAGCGGAAGACGGGATGCTTGTATGGGGAGGGAGATGGGATATCAGTAGAGTGGGCTGTGCACCATCCCCAGATGCTCGCACCACAGAGCTTTCACTTTTATGCCGCGCCAACCCCTTCAACGCATGCTCACTCCACGCGTTCCTACCCCTTCCCCACAGGCTCTGCGCGCAGCCATCTGTGCGACGTGGTACAGCAAGCTGGGCATCACGGAGGACGAGGTGTTCGTGTCTGATGGCGCCAAGTGCGACATTGCACGCCTGCAGGTGCGCTTTTGAAGAATGCCCAAGAACTGCTTACGAGACCGAGCCTAGTTTGGGAAAGGCAGACTGCATATGGATGCTTCTGCATGCCCCCATGCTCTCTCGCTTGCCCCCATGCTCTCTCGCCCCCATGCCTCTCTCATGCCCCCATGCCCTCCTGATGTGTTCTCCTGTTTCTTGTATGGACGTGCTCCGCGAGGTCGTTTCCACTGTCTCACCGCCTCCTGAACCCCCCATCCTTTCCCCAATGCTAAACCAGATGATGTTTGGCGCTGACGTCACCATGGCCTGCCAAGACCCCTCCTATCCGGTATGACCCATGTTCACCCTCCCATCGTCGCCCCCCCATCCTAGTCCTCCCAACCTAGTACCCCCGTCCTCAATCCTTCCTCGTAGCTGAGCCGTTCAGTGCATCCCCATCCCCACTGGCCGTGCTGTTAGAGCTGTCTCCACTCCCGCCTTCCTTGTTCCCCCTCATGCACCCCTCCGACCCGTGAGTTGCTGCGTCCATGTGGCACGGCAGGGCACGGCATGGCAGATTTGTCACGACATAACTACGTCTGTGGCATGGCAAGCATACGTGGACACGAGTATGATGATGGGGCAGATGGGGCTATTTGGGCCAGAGACGCAGCAGTTCGATAGCATCTGACCTACCTGCTGCTCACCGCCACAATGACTTCTGTTTTCTTGACGTTTCCCCAACTCTCCGCTGTCTCCCATCAGGCATACGTGGACACGAGTGTGATGATGGGGCAGACGGGGCTGTACGTGCCAGAGACGCAGCAGTTTGGCAACGTCACCTACCTGCGCTGCACGCCTGAGAACGACTTCTTCCCGGACCTCGCCTCTGCGCCGCGCACCGACATCATCTTCTTCTGCTCGCCCAACAACCCCACCGGTGAGTTCAGCGAGCTCCCTCAATCATAAAGACCGCACCAACATCATTCTTCTTGACCTGGCCTCTGCGCCGCGCACTGACATCATCTTCTTCTGCTCGCCCAACAACCCCACCGGTGAGTTCAGCGAGCTCCCTCAATCATAAAGACCGCACCAACATCATTCTTCTTGACCTGGCCTCTGCGCCGCGCACTGACATCATCTTCTTCTGCTCGCCCAACAACCCCACCGGTGAGTTCAGCGAGCTCCCTCAATCATAAAGACCGCACCACCATCATTCTTCTTGACCTGGCCTCTGCGCCGCGCACTGACATCATCTTCTTCTGCTCGCCCAACAACCCCACCGGTGAGCCACGGCCGGATTGCTTATACCTCATCCCGTCTTAACTATCAGCGCCCCATCAACACCCTCCCACCTTCCTCGCATCCCTCACATCCTTTCCCCGACTCTCCCCTACCGCCTCCCCTTTCCCTCCCTCCCTTGCACTGTGCAGGCCGGGCGGCATCACGGCAGCAGCTGCAGCAGCTGGTGGACTTCGCACGCACCAACGGGTCCATCATTGTTTACGACTGTGCATATGCCATCTACATTGAGGATGACTCGCCCAAGTCCATCTATGAGATTCCGGGCGCCGATGAGGTGGGTGCAAAATGTATGGCCTGGGAGTGTTGTTTGTTTACTGCTTCGCACGCACCAACGGGTCCATCATTATTTACGACTGTGCATATGCCATCTACATTGAGGATGACTCGCCCAAGTCCATCTATGAGATTCCTGGCGCCGATGAGGTGGGTGCAAAATGTATGGCCTGGGAGTGTTGTTTGTTTACTGCTTCGCACGCACCAACGGGTCCATCATTGTTTACGACTGTGCATATGCCGTCTACATTGAGGATGACTCGCCCAAGTCCATTTACGAGATCCGAGGCGCAGATGAGGTGGGTGGGTCCATAGGGGCATGGATGGCCTGAGAGTGCTGGTAGTGACTTTTGACCTGTGCTACGCCTCTTTGGTCCCCTTCTTCAACCCTTCCATATCGGCAACCCCAACCCCTCCCTCCATCCCCCATCCACAGGTGGCCATTGAAACAGGTTCTTTCTCCAAGTACGCTGGCTTCACAGGTGTGCGTCTTGGCTGGTTCGTGGTGCCAGCAGCGCTGCGCTATGCCTCTTGAGGCGCTTAATCTTCCCCTTCTTTATCTCCTTTTCCCTCTCCCCCTCTCCTGGTGGCCATTGAAACAGGCTCGTTCTCCAAGTATGCTGGCTTCACCGGGATTCGTCTCGGCTGGTCCGTGGTCCCAGCAGCGCTGCGCTACACAGACGGCCATCCAGTGCGCGCGGACATTAACCCTCCCTCTCTTTTCCCCTCAACCCCCCCTCCTCTCCCCACAGGTGGCCATTGAAACGGGTTCTTTCTCCAAGTACGCTGGCTTCACCGGTGTGCGTCTCGGCTGGTCCGTCGTGCCAGCAGCGCTGCGCTACGCCGACGGCCATCCAGTGCGCGCGGATTTCAACCGCGTCACCTGCACGTGCTTCAACGGCGCCAGCAACGTCTCGCAGGCCGGAGGGCTCGCATGCCTCTCCCCCGAGGGCCTCGAGGCCATGGCATTGCTGGTATCCTTTTACAAGGAAAACGCAGCCATCCTCAAGTCCACCTTCCAGTCGCTGGGCTTTGAAACGCATGGCGGGGACAACGCGCCGTATGTGTGGGTGCGCTTCCCTGGCCGCTCCTCGTGGGATGTGTTTGCTGAGATTCTGGAGAAGGCTGATATTGTCACCACGCCTGGGAGCGGGTTCGGGCCCGGTGGGGAGGGGTTTGTGCGTGCCAGTGCGTTTGGGAACCGTGCGAACATTGAGGAAGCGGCGAGGCGGATCACGAAGCTGTACTCGTCATGAATGCGGAGGGGGGATTACAGGTGTGATGTAGGCTGGCTTGTGGCAGTGTGGAGGAGTAACGTGGGTAGGGAAACCCGTCGGATTGATGTTTGTTAAAGTCCCACTTTAGATGACTGGATGGCTGTGTAGCGCAGAGATTGAGAGCAATACCGTATTACCCCGGATATAAGCACAGCTGCGCTTATAATAAAGCAGTGTTTTTTTGGGGGGGTGCGCTTCTAATTTAGTCGTCTGCATAAGCTATAATAGGGAAAAAAAATGAATTTCACTTTTGAACATACCAAACTGGAGCCCGCAATAAGGCGAATCCAACCGACCATGCATCAAGTGGGATTGGGCATGATTTTCAGGCAAAAACAGCTGCGGTTCGGTGTCCCACCGCACATTTTTGGCTACAACCGTCGAACGTGACAGCAGTGACGGGGAAGTTGCCGTGCGGCCCAATCACAGCCGCCGGCGCTGCATGGCATGTGAAATTATTCCGAACCCTCTCGAAGGGTGTGGAAGATTCCCTGCCAGCGCAGCGTTTATGCTGCCACGCAGGGTCCTCTACGGGGGTAGGCAAGGGTTTCCCGCCTGTCATTGACGAGGACCCCGAGCCGTCAACCCTACGGGGTCCCCATCGTTGCCCATTTGTGCACCCTCCTCTTCCTGTTTTTCATTCAGTTTCCAGACTAGCCCGCCTGGCTGGCGAAGCCATGGCTGAATTCAGTGGGACGCACTTCCTCTTCAAGAAGAAACCAAATCGCCCGTGGCGACTTACGGCGGACGGGTGGTATACCCGTGAGCCACCAGCGCCTCCATTGCCATCTGCACCCCCTGCACCGCCTGCTCCGCCTGCTCCTCCTGCATCTCCTGCTCCTCCTCATCCTCCCGCTCCTCCGAATCCTCCGAGTCCTCTTGATCCTGATGCGACTACTTCTCATCAACGGCCAGTGCTGAACCGGACACACCCAAGGCCCCCGATGTGTGAATCCAAGCTCCGCCGCCTGCACCACGGTGGGGAAATCCTGAACCCGACACGTGGGACGAGTCGGCTGTGGGCGCCGACGATGACGTGGCCGCCGATAAACATAACGCCGGCGAAGGCGACGGTGCCGGCGACGGTGTAGGCGAAATGGTTTGAGCACGACGACATGAACATTCTCACACCTGCAGGTCAGCGAAATGTCCACCCGTGACCCCTTCGTGTGCTTGTCTTGTTGCTCTTGGACTCACGTGTTCCCCACTCCCTTGTGTGTGGTGCAGGGAACATCAAGAAACCACCACCAGAGGTGGAGCTCAAGTGGATTTCACGGGCGTGGAAGGCTGTGCCCGTTGACCTGATTAAGAAAGCATTCCTCACCTGCGGCATCAGCAATGCCCTTGACGGGGGCGAAGACGGACTGGTGCTGGCGCACCGGAGAGGCCGGCTGACTCAAGAGGTGGAGGTAGACGACGACATCCAAGCTGACGGGTTCTGGGGCAACAACTCCACGGAGCCTGAATCAGATGGGGAGGAGTAGGCCGTAGGCTAGACTTAGCATGGTAATGACTTGTAGGCTAGGACCCTAGTCTAGTGAAGGTGTATGGAAAGTTGTAATAGAAAGTTTTAGCTAGTGAATTGTTGTTTTGATGAAAGTAATGTAAAAACTCCAATATATATCCTGTGTATACAGCAAAGGTGCGCTTATAATAAGTCACGACTTTTTAGGGGGTGCGCTTCTAACTGAGGATCGGCCATAAGCGCACTGCTACGAATAGAAGCGCATGCGCTTTTAATAGGCCTGCGCTTATATCCGGGGTTATACGGTACTAATGCTGGGAGGAAAGCACAAATGTCGTGCATGTATGCTGTAATGCCCAAAACTTAAGTCAATCTGTCGAGGAAGCACACGCAGACGGACCCGCACAAGTGCAGAAAATTCATGCGCTATTCAAGCATTTGTCGGCATAACCAGCCGAAATCATAGCCGTCGAACTTTTCTTTGCACAAAAACCAAACCGAAAAGGCACAAATACGCGTATTTGAACATGGGCCGCTCGAATATGCGATAATATTGAGGTTAGAGGAATTCATGCGTTGTCTACGCATTTTTCGGCAAAAACCAGTCGAAATCATAGGCGTCGAACTATTCTTTGCACAAGAACCAAGCCGAAAAGGTTCTAATAGGTGTATTTGAACATGGGCCACTTAAATATGTAGTAACATTGATGTTGTTGAATGCTTTTCCCTATGCCTATAGAGATTCATGCGCTTTCTAAGCATTTGTTGGCAAAAACAACAGAAATCATATGCGCCAAACTTTTCTTTGCGCACGAACAAAGCCGAAAGGGCTTTGGTAGGTGAATTTGAACATGGGCTACTCGAATATGCAATAACATTGAGGTTGTCGAATGTTTTTTCCCTACGCCTCTAGGGATTCATGCACTGTCTAAGCATTTGTCGGCAAAACCAGCTGAAATCATAGGCGCCGACCTTTTCTTTGCACAAGAACCAATGATTCCACACGCTTAAAATGCACACACGCTTAAAAGGCATCACACACGCTTAACAGGCATCCCACATGCTTAACAGGCATCCCACGCGCTTAAAAGGCATCCCACACGCTTAACAGGCATCCCACACGCTTAACAGGCATCCCACACGCTTAAAAGGCATCCCACACGCTTAAAAGGCATCCCACACGCTTAACAGGCTTCCCACACGCTTAACAGACATCCCACACGCTTTAAAGACATCCCACACGACTAAATGACATCCCACACGCTTAACAGGCATCCCACACGCGTAAAAGGCATCCCACACGCGAAACAGACTTCCCACACGCTTAACGGGCATCCCACACGCTTAAAAGGCATCCCACACGCTTAAAAGGCATCCCACACGCTTAACAGGCACCCCACACACTTAACAGGCATCCCACACGCTTAAAATGCATCCCACATGCTTAAAAGGCATCCCACATTCTTAACATGCATCCCACACGCTTAAAAGGCATCCCACACGCTTAAAAGGCATCCCACACGCTTAACAGGCATCCCACACGCTTAAAGCTCAAGGCCCAAATTGCAGAGCGCGCAGGGCAAGCTTACTAAAGTTGATCGGAGTGGTGTTCTGGGGGTTTGGTTGCGAATTGAGGTTACGAGAAGTGCGATGCTGTGTGATTGGCCAGCAATTTTTTTGTCCAATGGGAGAGAATGAAACACTTATAATATTGTGAGTGCAATTGAAGACTCCGACAACCAAACCGAGTTGCCCTTGGGTTTGCTGAGTGAGCGAAAACCTAGCGCGAAGCTGGGCGAAACTGACGAGCCCAACTTAAAAAAAGTCAACGTTCCTCTCTCGATACCCCAAGGGCAACCTTACTAAGGTTGAACAGTTTGGGCCTTGAGCTTTAACAGGCATCCCACATGCTTAACAGGCATCCCACACGCTTAAAGGTCATCCCACACGCTTAACACGCATCGCACACGCTTAAAAGGCATCCCACACGCTTAAAAGGCATCCCACATGCTTAAAAGGCATCCCACACGCTTAACAGGCATCCCACACGCTTAACAGGCATCCCACACGCTTAACACGCATCCCACACGCTTAAAAGGCATCCCACAGGCTTAACAGGCATTCCACACACTTAAAAGGCATCCCACACGCTTGAAAGGCATCCCACACACTTAACAGTTATCCCACATGCTTAACAGGCATTCCACACGCTTAACAGGCATCCCACACGCTTAACAGGCATCCCACACGCTTAACAGGCATCCCACATGCTTAAAAGGCATCCCACACGCTTAACAGGCATCCCACATGCTTAAAAGGCATCCCAGACGCTTAAAAGGCATCCCACACGCTTAAAAGACATCCCACACGCTTAAAGGCATCCCACACGCTTAAAATACATCCCATACGCTTAAAAGACATCCCATACACTTAACATGCATCCTACACGCTTAACAGGCATGCCACACGCTTAAAAGGCATACCACACGCTTAAAAGACATCCCGCACGCTTAACAAACATCTCACACGCTTAACAAACATACCACACGCTAAACAAGCATCCCACACACCTAAAAGGCACCCCACACGCTTAACTAACACCCCACACGCTTAACAGGCACCCCACACGCTTAAAAGGCATCCCACACGCTTAAAAGGCATCCCACAAGCTTAATAGGCATCCCACACGCTTAACAAACATCCCAAACGCTTAACAGGCATCCCACACGCTTAAGAGGCATCCTACACGCTTAAACGGCATCCCACATGCTTAACAGGCATCCCACAGGCTTAACAGGCATCCCACACGCTTAACAGGCATCCCACACGCTTAACATGCATCCCACACGCTAAACAGACATCCCAAATGCTTAAAAGGCATCCCACACGCATGCATGATACCTGCACTACAGGCACGCATACCGACCAACTTGAGCAGCGCATTACGTATGTTTGTAGAGATGCGGTTAGTACCATTTTCTTGTCAATCCACTAGATTAGGCCATCTACTTTAACAACACTAGGTTCTAACCTTTTAGATCCACATAATTTGTAAGATTTCAGAGCTCCAGCTCCGCCTTGTACCTGCACACAAGCGTGCATACTACCCGAACCGGCTCACGCATCATTTTCTTTGTAGAATTAGGGTGAATACCACATATGTTTCGCTTTTCCTTTACATTATACCATTCCCCACCCCTCTACCAGGTTCTAACCTTTTGGATCTATGTAATTTGCCAAATATAGGCTCTCCAGTCTTGCATGGTACCTGCACTACAGGCACGCAAACCGACCAACCTGACCAGCGCATTACGTATGTTTGTAAAGATGCGGTTAGTACCATTTTCTTGTCAGTCCACTAGATTAGGCCATCTACTTTAACAACACTAGGCTCTAACCTTTTAGATCCACAATATTTGCAAGATTTCAGAGCTCCAGCTCCGCCTTGTACCTGCACACAAGTGTGCATGCTACCCGAACCGGCTCACGCATCATTTTCTTTGTAGAAGTAGAG